CGCCCCGCCCCGGCCCGCCCCGGCCCGCCCGCCTCGGGCGTGAGGTCACCGGCCGCGACGTCAGCGCCCGCCGGGGTGGGTGGGACCCGCCGCTTCCGCGACTTATTTGGAGCCCGCGAGCCGCATACTCACGTCCGCCGCCTTCTTCTCCGCTAGCGCCAGCCGCGCCCGCGCCTCCTTTAGGTCCTCCAAGTGCTGGTCCACCTCGTCCTCGGCGCCCTGGAGCTGTCGGTGCAGGTGCGCCAGCTCCTCCTCCACCTGGGATGAGGCTGCGCGTCAGCCACGGAGCCCTAGCCAGCGCGCAAGGCTCCCCGGGCCTCAGTTTACCCCGCTGTGAAATGGGGACGACCCCAGCACCGCCCTTCCACGCGTTCCGCTGCGAAGAGGGTGTAGCAACCTGCCCCCGTGCTTGGACTGGCTGTGCTACAGCCCAGTGGGTTCCCCGATACTCTTGGGGAACCGGAGCGCAGCCTGCAGGTGGCCCAAGGAGACAGCAAGGAGAGCCCGGGTCACTGGCCGGCCTCCCTTTCCCGGTTCACACGGCTCCCTCTGCTCTGCTTCTGTGGAGAATCTGCCAGAGCTACCGTGCTGGGCGCCAGTCCTCAACTGCCTCACAAGAGCCCCCCCCCCCGGGGGGGGTCGCAGGCCTTGCATCCCTGGACTACTGGGCGTGGTGACCCTTGCACACGTTTGCTGCGTGTTCGTTGTCTTGAGAAATGTCCCCAGAATTTCAGACCTTCTGAGAGCCTTTGTACCCCGTTAGCATAGCTCAGGAATGTGGGGCGCAAAGTGCACACCCCCAGCATCCGTTGTCACACCGGCTTAGAGGAGCCTGAGCGCTGCCCCTGCGCTCTCCACCAGCGCCTGCGCCCTGGGACTCGAGGCCGGGCCTCGGCATCCTGCCTTTTCCTCACAGCTGAGGCCCAAGAGCAGCTACTTCCCAGTGCTGTGCCTGACTGTCCATGCTGTGTGTGTGTGTGTGTGTGTGTGTGTGTGTGTGTGTGTGTGTGTAGGTGCCAGTCTGCTCTCATCTCTTCTTCAAGGTCCTGAGGATGGATCCCCAGAAAAGTGCTCATCCCTGAGTGGCACCCCCTGCCCTCTTTTGTTCTTTTAACATTCTGCTTTGAGACAGCGTCTCATTGTGTTGCCCAGCCTGGGCTCACGTTTGTGATCCTCCTGCCTCAGCCTCCCAAGCAGCTGGAATGGCAAGCATGTGCCAGCATGCCGGGACAGCAGATTCCTGCAAGGGCCCTGTCCCGAGGGCCTGAGGTCCTGACCTTGCCCCCTGGAGGCTGCCTGAGCACTGACTTCTCCCTCAGGGTCTCTAGTTTGGGACAGCTGGTCAGGCTCATGCAGGAGGCGGATGGGCCCAGCCCAGGGCTGGTGGCACTTCAGGGCCTCCAGGGTCTGACTGGGGGCAGGGAGCCTACAGCTAAAGTGCAAATCCCTGCCATGTGAGCCTTGCCCCTGACCTCAGTGTCCTCATCTGGAGAATGGGAGTCTTGGCCTGCGGTTCCCTCTGCCAGCCAGCAGCTGCTTGGAGGTTCTGCCCTGACTGATTCTCAGAGATGCTGAAACTCGTAATCCCAGAACTCCCGGAGGCCGAGGCAGGAGGATGGAAAGTTCAAGCCCAATCTAGACAATTTAGTAACTTACTGAGACCCTGTCTCAAAATAAAAAAGAAAAGGATTTGGAATGTAGCTCTCGGCAAGGCCCTAGGTTCGATCCCCAGAATAGCAAAAGAAAAAGAAGAAATAAAATGTGCCAGGTCCATTTTAGTGACTGTCTGAAGCCTTGCTCTAGAAGGGTAAACTGAGTCCCCAGAAGGGGAAAGGATGTGGGACATGTGGTTTGAGTCCTTGGGTAGCAAAGTAATTCCCAAGTTGAGGGTGTGGGGCCCTGCAGTGCCGGGTGGAGCCCTTGGGGTTCCCCATCCTTGTCTCGCTGGCTCTGATGCTCAGGTCCCCAGGGCCTGGCCCGGGAGCACTGTAGGAGGTTTGCTGAGTGAATCAGTGAGAGCAGCCTTGGTGTCTAAGTGGCAGAACCCTGTGAGAGGAGTCCTGTCCACGCACGAAGCCGGCCTGGCCTGCGGGCCTCGGTTTCCCTGCCCGAGGAGTGCTGAGGACTGTGGGGCACACGCTGTTCAAGTCCCTCTACAGGGCCCTCCATGCAGGCTGATGCAGGATATGAGGTCAGAGGCCAGGAGGGCAGATGTTGCTGTGGGGAGCGGAGGGGGGCAGGAAGTGGCCAGGCTGGGCCTCTGGTGCCCCTGCCCTGGACAGCCTGGGCTGGGACAGGGACTGTGCTTCTGGGCCCCTGAGGGCTGTTTTCTGTGACAGTGGAGGCAAGCTAGGTAAATTGAGTCCCAGGGGGAACCAACTATGGCACCGTGTGGCTGAGGAGTCTGGGGCTCTGGGACCTTGGGCTTCATGCTTGGCCTCTGGAGTTGAGCCCATGTTTCCCCTAGCAATGGCTTAGTTAAAAAAAAAAAAAATCCAGCAGGAAGCAGGGACTTATCGCCACCTTTCCGGCCCCACAGCTTTCAGGGGCCTTTCCTCTCAAGTGGTCACTTGGAAAGGGGAAGTCGTGCCAGCCATACACACCTTAGTGAGAGTTAGAGTCATAAACCTGTTCAGTCATAAACCTGTTCTGACTCCCTGGCTGAGCACTTTACCACAGCTGGCAGTCCAGGGCCTGGCTCGGGAGGAGCCCCTGGAAGGAGGAGGGCTGTGGGTGGTAGGGAGCAGCTAAGGTGGAGGTGGCCCACGTCACAGGACACAGGGTGAGAGGGCTGTTTGGGAGGAGGGCTGTGGGTGGTAGGGAGCAGTTAGGCGGAGGTGGCCCACGTCACAGGACACTGGGTGAGAGGGCTGTTTGGGAAGGCTGGCGAGGCCGGACATGACCCTGCTCTGGGTGTGCACTGGTGATCCTCACACGGCCTCCTGGATCTCAGCCCCTCACAGGTGAAATGACTGGCCCAGTCATGGACACTGGATTTGTCCGGGGCGGAGAGCTCCTACTTCCTGCCTCTCGGGCCCCAGCCTATCTGTCTCTGATCCTGCCAGCTCCTGCTTTGGCCCAGGCCTGGGCCTCCTGGCCCCCGCCCCGGGCTCCAGGTAACAAGTGGGCCCCGCCCCGTCCCTTGGGCTTGGAGTGGGGTCTGGGTCCGCTGCACAGAACTCAGGGACAGTGTCAGGGTCCTGGGGTCCTGGGGTCCCGGGGTCCTGGCTCCTCCTCCTGGCCCCATGGTGGCTCGCACTGCAAGGCCACCCTCTAGGGCTGGCCAGGGAGGATGCCCTGACACATGTGCCCAGGTCCCTGCCTGAGCACACAGCGCGTGTGCACACGGACGGTGGGAGCCAGCCTGCAACCCCACCCCCACCCCACACAGCCCCCCTGCACGCACACACGCTTGCGCACACACACTCAGCTGCCATGGAGCTGGCTGCTGCACGAGACCCATCCATGCCATGGGCTCGCGCATCCACCTCTCCGACCTGCCCTTCGTGCCTGGCACCCTCACCTCCAGCTGACCCGCCCTCGCTCACTCGGGGCGCGCACACCCACCCAGGTGCACTAACGCATGGGCACGCAGGAAAACAGACTCCCAGCCGGGCGCACTCCCGGGAGGCCTCACCTGGCCGCACCTGCCCTCCGCGGCCTTCCTAGCGGCCTCGGCCTGCTCGGCGCGCTCCACGGCGCCGTCCCTATCCAGCTTGAGCGCCTGCATCTTCCTCCTGATGGCCTCCATGGCGGCGGTGGCACGGCGGTGCGGGCGGCCTGGCCCTTATAGGCAGAAGCGGGCGAGCCTTGGAGTGTGCCCAGCCGGCCCGCTGTCACTTGTCCGCCCGGCTCGCGGCCCGCACCTTATTTGGGCCTCGGATTCCAAAGAGGAGGGCAGATTGGTGAGCATTTCCGCCTTAACCTGGTGACACAGGCCTGGGCCCGTGGGCAGGGCCTGGTGCCAGCGCCGGAACCTCGGTTTCCCTTGCTAGGCTCTGGGGAAGGAGGAGGAGACTGTGATGGTGGTTGTGGGGCCCTGACTCTTCTCCCCAAGGCTGCAGTTCTGGGCTTGGCACGTCATCCCCAGCCTTGGGGTCCATCCTGTTCTTGCCTTGGGGCCCTCTGCTGTCTGTCCCTTTCAGATGTGTCTGGGCCTGATGTCTCCCTGGCTCCCGCATGTCCCTGTTTGTATCTCTGCCTCTGCCTCTGTCTGTCTCTCTGTCTCTCTGTCTCTCTCTCTGGTATTTCTGAGACAGGGTCTCCCTATGCAGCTCAGGCTGGCCTTGAGCTCACTAGTGGTCCAGGGTGGTCTTGAACTTGTGACAGTTCTCTTGCCTCAGCCTCCTGAGTGCTGAGATGACAGGTGTGTGACACCACACGTGGCTTTTCTCTCTCTCCTTCCCTTATATCTTCAACTATTTGGGAGCGTCATGGTCTGGGTCCTGCTGTGGCTGCCAGCCCCTTCCCAGCAGGGTGGGAGAGATACTTCTGAGACAAAAGGAGCTGACGTGCGCGCCATGCTCACCCTACAACCACGCGCACAGGTACTCACACACACACCTCTCCTAGGAGACTTCTGGTCACTCTGCAAAGCCCAGAGCAGCAGAGCCCTCCTCCAAGAAGCTCTCTTTGATTCCTAGGCACAGTGAGGGCCTCCAGCCCTTCTCTGTGGGGCGGAGGGCAGGCAGAGAGGCCACGAGGGAGCAGGGTTCAGTGACACTGCACGTGGCCTTGTTCCAGAGCACAGGAGCCAGGGCAGATGTGGTATCCTGCTCCCTGGCCATGTCTGGCTGTGTGTGTGTCTACGCAGTTCCTCCTCTGATAGCCAGTGTGTGGAAGCTTCTGGGATCTCCTGCACGGGCCAGGTCCTGGCATTCAGATGCTGGGACGTCTGTCATCTTGGCTGTTTCTTTAGAGACAGGAAGCTGAGACCCGCGGCCACCCCGCTCGTCTGCCTGTGAGCAGGGGCTGCAGGAGGCAGTTGGTGTGGGCCCTGGGCCCCTGAGGTCCTGTCACCCTCCCCCTCTCCAGGGCTGAGTCACTGTGACCACTGTGCTGGCAGTGCCTGGAGACCTTGCCCCACCTCACAGCCTCACCTGACATGGGACTGTCCTGCAAGACGTGGGCAGCCTGGCCATGGGCAGCAGTGGACCCTGGCCTGGGGTGGTGCTGCCCGGAGCCCAGGAGAACCTGCCCTGGACCCTGGTGTCAGCTGTAGTGTCCCTGCCCCTGCTCAGTGTCATTTGCTCTGGGCCCTACAGTAGGGATGGACTCCCTGGCCAGGTTCCCAGGGTCACTGCAGTCCTGGCGCTGGGCACCCTGCCGGCTGTGCCTGTGGCTGGGCATGAGGCTGCTGGAAGCTGCTGTTTGTATCTCTAGCCTGCTCCTGGGGACAGTGGGCACATAGCAGAGTCCTGTCCCTACAGGACGAGACTAGGGCATTCAGAGAACCCCCACATGTGCCAGGCCCCTGTGGCTTAGGGCTATAGTGGTGGGTAGGACCCGCCTGGGGACTACATGGAGAATAGGGCAATGACCAGGACAGATTGAATTTCAGGGATGCACACGACTGTCTCAGGATGGGCTCCCCAAAGTGGACCCTGAGGCAGGGATTCAAGGGTGAGCTGGGCACGGGCTACACACCTGTCATGCCTTCTAGGAGGCTGAGGCAGGAGGGTTGCTGGTTGGAACTCAGCCTACAGAGCTTAGTGACTTAGTGAGACCCAGTCTCAAAATAAAAAAAAAAAAAAAAAAAAGGAGTAGGGGGTACAGCTCAGTGTGAAGTCCTGGGTTTAGTTCCAGTGCTGAAGAAAGAAAAAATATTGAAGGGTGTCTTGTTGGCTTGGGAGGCCAGCAGCACCCAGCCACAGGGAAGTAGGGGTGGGGGCTTCTTTGGGACAGAGCAGCCCTTGAAGTGCTGCCCTCACCTCTGGGGACAGCAGAGCTGCTGCCCCTCCGCCACTGGCCACTGCTTCTCCAGGGCTGCTCATACAGCCTGTAGCAGAGGCAGGATTCGAACTCAAGCTTGTCTGCTTCTGGGGATTCAGAAACCTCTGCAGTCTCTTTGTTGTCTTGTTTAATTTATTTATTTTGAGCTTTTGAGACAGGGTCTCGCTATGTAGGCCAGCTGGCCTTGAGCTCATAGCAGCCCTCCTGCCTCAACAGTCCTATTGCTGGCATTACAGGCATGTACCACCACACCCTGCTTCCTACCCTATTTATTAACAGTGACCCAGTAGCTGGGCGCATGGCAGGGCATGCCTGTGACTCTGGCATTCAGGAGGGGTGAGGTAGAAGGATCAGAAATTTGAGCTCCACCTGGGCACCTTAGTGACTTAAGAGACCCTGTCTCAATAAAAAATAAAAAGGGCTGGTTGCTTCAGAGTTTAGCAGAAGAAAAATAAAACCCTTACTGTCCTCCCTCAGCCTTCTTGGGCCATGAGGTAGTACAGTGTCTCTGTAGTGGTGGAGGTGGTGAGGACCACAGCAGCAGTGTGCCGGAGCATCAAGATAGTGTGTGGGATGGGGTCGCGAGCTCTGGGACCTCGCAGTCCTCCAGAGCCCAGAGGCTCCTGAGTGTCTTCTGCAGGGCAGTGTAGACAGCATGGCTGTGGGGACCGGGGAGGGTGGCTGGTGGAGGTTTCCTTGTGCTGCTTCTTCTTTTATTTATTTATTGTATTTTAGGGAAGGGCCTACAGGGTATTCAGGGTCTCACTACTAGATCGGACTTGTAGTGATCCTCCTGTGTACAGCCTCCCAAGAGCTGGGATTACAGGTGCGCGCCACCATGCCCAGTCTCAATTGCTGTCACAGCTCACCCTGGGGGTGGGGCCGGCATGGTGGCAGGCCCTGGGGGTCGAAGCCCTGGCCCCTGCACCTGCTTGCAGGCACTTTAATCTGCTGAGCTATTTGGCCGGCCCTTCCTTGTGCTTCTTAGAGTAGCACCTAGCCGAAGGCTTGCACATTAGTTCTGGAACTTTCCAGTTAATATTTTGGACTGTGGTTAACTGTAACTGTAGAAGACAAACTGGTGGTAAGGGAGGGGTGCGTTGTGGCCAGCTAATGGACATGCAGGGTCATGGCATTGTGGCAGCTGTGCTTATCTGAGTCACTCAGGGATGCTGGATGGATGCAAAGACAAGCAGATTTATTGGGGGCCAGCTGTGGGCACCCTGTGCATGCCCCAGCACTGACCCCAGAGGGCAGGAGGGGAGAGCAGTTACACAGTCCTAGTTCAGGGTCTTGGGGTGTGGGGTACTGATATGATTTAGTGCAGCTACACAAATACTCCTACAAAGCATGGGCTTAGCTTGTGGCAGAGGAGCAAAGGTGTTCGACATTATACGTAGGGGACAAGTGGTCTTATGACAAAGCATGGGGTGGTACCGGGTTAGGTAAGTTGGACAACATTTGCAAGAAGCAAACTTTTTTTTTTTTTTTTTTTTTTTTTTTTTTTCAGAACTGGGGCTTGAACTCAGGCCCTTGGGCTTGCCAGGCAAGTGCTTATTCCACTGAACCATCTCTCTGGCCCCACAAGAAGCAAATTTAAGGAAACAGAAACTTAAGTTTTAAAACAGCACTAGAACCCCAAATGTGGTGGTTTAGTTTTCTTTCCCATATCAATAGGACCAATGCAGAAAGAAGGTAGGAGGAAGTGGGTTCCTTGTTATGGCCTGGAGGTGCCCCCCAAAAGCACATGTTGCAAACTGGATCCCCTGAGTGACTGCGCTGGGGGTTGGGGCCTTGGATGTCCATTCCCTAGGTGGGCTGTGAGACCCACCCGAGAGGCCAAGGAAGACACCCCTAGGTGTCCTGGGGGGAAAGAAGGGTTATTAAGACTGTAATAGGAGAGCTGGTGTGGTGGTGCACACCTGCCATCCCAGCACTCAGGAAGATGAGGCAGGAGGATCACTGTGAGTTTGAGGCCAGCCCGGACTAAAAAGTGGGCTCAAGAACAGCCTGAGCTGCATAGCGAGACCATGTCACAAAGAAAGACCTTTGCAGGAAAAGATGGGTCAACTGAGACGAGTGTCAGGGGCAGTGTCCTATGGTGGTCACTGGGTGTGACAGCCCCCAGGAGGTGTTCAGCATGTCCAGTGGACTAGGAACCGCCTTCTGGAGGAGGCAGGCTACAGAGGAATTTGGATTTTTTTTTCTCCGAATGCCTTCAGGGCAGGTTTGGCTGGCTTGAGTTGTAGGGATTGAACCACAGCAACCTGAGTCTGACTGCTTGGTTGAAGCGGCCACTTAAAGAACTGAGCTAAGGGGCAGGCCCCCATGCAGAGGAATTTGGCCACCGAGGTCATGGGGGATAACCAGGGTGCCCAGGGGCAGCATCTGGGCCACGGCTCTCCACGGGGCTCCGCTGTGTGCCCACTTACCGTGGGAGGTCGTAGGGAGACTGCCTCACTGCGGGATGTCAGGAGCAGCTGGCTTTGCATGCAGACAGGAAGAAGGCGGCTGCTCTAGGGATGGGAAACGTGGCCACACCATGCAACTTTGAGTCTCAGCGCAGCCTGTCCCTATGCTGGCTGTGGTTAGCTTTCTCCGGGTTTTCACAGGGCTCCCAGCTACCAGTTTGCCTTGAGTATCAGAGAGTGCTCTGCCCCTGGCCATTCAGCAGTGTTGGGGCTGCTGAGCCTCTTGTGGCTCTTAGCCAGGGGCTCCGTGCGTTCTGCCTGGATGCATTTGGCATGACGAGATACAGCCGAGTCTCTTCGGGGCCAGGAGTGGAATGTGAGGGTGTTGCCCAGGAGAGGCTCCCGAAGCCTCACCTGCCGGCAGGTGGTTGGATTGTAGGGTGGGAAATCTGACCTG